GACCTCAAGCCGGCTAACCCTTTTCCCCTCCAAGCCGCCACCTCCTCTCTTCCTCTTCTTCCTTTTGGGTGTTCCTTCAACCCTTGGTGAGGATGCATGGCGGATCCCGAAGTTGATCACGGATTCATACTCAACTCCCAAGGAGACATCGACGTCGTCCGATAACCGTTCTTTGACGTCGGCTTTGGTTATGACGACACCATTGAAGATTATTTGAATCGGATCATCCCCCATCTCGTGGACATTCTCGACGAGCAACTTCCGGACTACGAGTGGAGCATCAACGGCCATCCACCCGCTTCCCCAACTCCTGCTTCTTCCCCGGCGACTAGTCCTCTTGGCATCACTTGTGTAATAGTGGTATCTCTAAGCGTGCTTACGATCCTCTTCCGCTAGCCTCCACTTTCAAGAGTGATAAAAGGACCTCGAGGTGAAGGATCTAGATTTTAAATGTGTGTCTTTGTTATAGTTGGCTATTTGCATTATTTAAATCTTTGGTTATTCTTTTGCAAGTTCTTGTAATCTCGAAGTGTAATCAATTACTATTGCTTAATCTTTCATGACGCTTTCTTGAACTTATACTTGAGTAAGCAATATTTTATTGATAGTATGCGAAGTTAATAACTTTTATTTATTTCTTAATTGCAATTCTTGTCACCGCATTTAGTTTCACATCAAGATCATTTTTCTTTTTTCCGTAATCAATCTCTTGTTAACATTTTTTATGGTAAGAAAGATTAATTGTCCGTTTGAGAGTTCCATTCTGTCTGATGAAATGCATCCAGAACAATTCTGTGATCGATATCATGCATAGTTGATAATGATTCCAATTCATATGATCTATCTTTGACTCTAACTAGGTTAAACTCAAATCAAACCTGACTTTGGATTGATAACTTTTGAGTCAAGCTCGCTCAATTCATTATTTATTCGATTTTGGCTAGGCTCAAATTTTTTATGATTAAAGTTGAAATGATTTGGAGTCCACTTGAAATTAAAAATTAAATGAGTGGTGAAGGGAATATTATCTCATGCGGCCTTGTGGATTCATGTTTAATAAGCCAAATGGTCTATTAGCTCTTCATTTAAATGTTAACTAACATGTTTAAATAATATTTTTTATTTGAGCAAATTTCCGGCGATCCATCATTGGCTTTAAAAGTTGAGGTTACTTAAATATGAGTTTGAATCCATTTTCCTTGTTCAAAATTAAGTTCGATATATTCAAGTTTACTTACATGGGACTAATAATCGAAAAGAATTTGGAATTTGGACATCTTTATCAGACCTAGTGCTATCAATTCTAACACCGTTGTTAAGAAGTGTTGTTTAGCTTCTGCAAGATCAAATTCTTCTGTTTCCTTGTGATGTCTTATTCTATTCTTTTTTCACATGTATTTCATTTGTAATCCATGATTGCTATTAACCATCCTGATTTGTTTCCAACTTTCCATTTGAAAAGAGTCTAAATATGATAAAAAAAGTTCCAATTTCTGTCAAATTTATGTTGATAGCTTCTGAACAAAATAGACTGGAGAAAATCATTCTTTGATTTTCTGGTTTCTGCCCCCTTTACAATTTATACACCATTCACTCATTCAGTACACAAACACAACAAGAAAGAAACAAAATTGAAAAGAATATACACACGAACATCAGCAAGTGTCATTCCTATTTTGTTAGAGCCATAAACATCAGCCCCATTATTTCTACTTGTTCCTCCTCTATCAGCAGTGATTTGGATGTAAAGGACATGGAATGAATAAGGAAGATGAGTTTGGAAAGAAAACAGAGTTTGAGTTTGGCTTGGGTGGAATATGGAAAAGGAAAAGACATGTGGTATTTGAATTCAAAGACCACTCATTTATAGCCAGAATTAAACAACTAGGAACTCTTCCTTAAATGGTTTCAATTACAACAAATAAGGGGGCTTTGTCCAAATTTACCAACAGTATCCGACTTCAAAATTAATAATACTTTGCAGTTAGTGTTTTGAATGGTTTATCCGGTGCAATCCCATGTTAAATTTTCTCATGATCTCTTTCTACCCCCTCATTCTCATCTTCCCTAGGTAGAATGAATGTTCAATCTCAAAACGTTTAATCCTGTTACTTTTCCTCGGACTATTGATTGATGTAGAACTTAAATGCTTGGGTAATGTTAAATAAGAAGTTGGACGTTTTTATTTGAGAGCAATATTACGTATTAAACTTGTAGTGATTTTAAACAATAAACGTAAACGAGAAAGGGGTGAAACGAGCTTAGGCCAAGTCACACAACTAGAAGTTAAGATCGATTTCTCGTTGAATATCCTTCATGTATGCTATGCTTGAATAATTGATTAGTCACTATGAAAAGAGATCCCTCACTCAACTCTTAGTAAAGTTGGCTTGTGGAGAACTTTTCAAGATTGTTATGATACCACATTTAAGGATAAACTTAGAAGATATAAGACTTGGAAGAGAGTTTACCTTCATCATGATGTGGGAATGGTTACTAGTAAGATACTGGAGCTTCTGGTCAGCAATTGGAGGCTTTCCGGACTGCGGGACATCAATAGGAGATTGCTGAAATTACTTGACAGCACTATGACTATCGGGATAGCAGGTCGGCAGGTTTTCGCTTGATGGAGATACGGGACAGCACCCTTAAAGATGACCAGGAGTCTGGACAACAACTGTGTAGGCTGTCGATCTGCAACTAGATGGTTCTAGATTGAGAAAAAAAATCAAGTAGTTGACAAAGGGGATGGAAAATAGCAGTTACAAGATGCCTTCGGAGGTTTAATTAGAGGATTTGAATTTGAATCCCAAAGAGTTAAAGAGGGAAGGGAGGGGCGGCTGGTCTTGAAGGGGAAGTAATGGATTGATGGGAATGTTTAATGAGGTATTTTCATTAGATAGGAAATAGGGAGAGGAAGGGGGGCCGGCGCGTGAGAGAGAGGGAAGGGTGTGAGGCCGTCAATTACAAGGGGAAGGGGGAAATTGATTGGGAAATCAATTAATTCCCAATCTTAGGCATTAGAATTAGGGGAGGGATTAATGGGTGTCCGCATTCATTGAATGTGGATTTGAAATTAAATCTGATTTAATTTCAGATTTGCATCGATTGGGGGCTTTCCAAAATTAGATTTTATTAATTAGGAAAAGCTTTGAAATTTAAATTCATTTGAATTTAAATTCAAATATCTTCCCAATTAATAATGGGATGTATTCGGCAAGTAGTAACTCTAGGTAATTGTGGATCTAGGGTTTGGTTGACTGACGGTTATAGGGAGGAGCAAGGCCTTTGTGGCCGGCGGTTGGAGGGGAGGAAGGAGTGGCCGGCCTAGGGGGAGGTGGGGGTGCGGAGGTTGGCTGAGAGAGGGGGAGGGGCGATGATGGCTGGTCGCTTAAGGGAAAAGGGAGGGGAAGACCACGAACCTGGACGCTTCCTGCGATTGGTGGGTACTACGCTGCCCTCACTTAGGGACTTCAATCTCTCAAAGACTCTCAAGCTCTTTAAAATACATAAGTGCAGAAAATTTTATAATATCATTCATCATCCTTCAAAGAAGGGAGAGGAGGCTTTAAATAGCCAATACAATGAAGAAAATATAAAAGACCAACTTGCCCCTAGGGCATACATGTGACTAGGCGCTCAAGTGAGGGCATAAAAGGAAAATGTATAATAAAACTCATAAATATAATGAACTAATACATCAATAATAAATCTAATACAATGATAATCTGATGCAAGAAAAAATTTGAGAAAAGCCCTAAATTTTTGCAAGTAAGAACTAAACCTTCATAAGAAAGAGAAGAAACACAAAACATCAAAAAACTAGACAAAATACAACAAATAAACCAAAACAACTCCACTTTTATAAAATAGAATGACTTACAAACTTTGACACTTACAAAACGACTCAAACAAAATTATATAATAAAAAACCTAAATTTGCATTTCATTTGCTTTGGGAAGAAGGATACAAGTGGCGTCGGACTTGTAGATAGAAGAAGTAGATTAGAAGCCGAGACGAAGAAGAGAGGACAAGCTCGCAAGCTTTCTTTGGCAAAGAGAGGAAGAAAAGGCATTAGCTCGCAAGCTATACTAGAAACCCGCAGGTTTAGATCCAAAAATCAACTACATAACATCCTTTTTATGCTTCAAAACATCTCTAATTTATAAGAGAAAAGAGGGCAGCCAAACAGCCAACAACCTCCCTCCAAACCAATCAAGAAAAGAGAAATAGAAAGCCAAAAGGCATACCAGGACAGCAGCTGAAAAGCCACCCAAAAATCAGGCCAAATACATCAATGTACAGGCTACCAGGGAAGGAACCGAAGAGGAAGCACATGGGGGCGGAACCAGCAGGAAAAACCCAACAGCCAGCCATGGGAGGAAACCGAGAAGGCAAGCATAGGAACTGGGTAGAGGCAGCCACGGGAAAACAGCCAGGGAGTAAACCGAAGGGGCACCAAGAGGAAACCGAGGAGGCACAAATGAAGGGAAAATGCCAATGTCCACTTCACATTATGAGCTGAAATTAGAAGAGAAACCTTTTTATATTAATGAGCTAAAGTCACATCTCAACATTTATGAGCTAGAACCACTTAGTTCCAAAATTTTCAGCACAAAACCAAAACAGCCAAGGACCAAATCGAGAGCAGCCAAGGACCAAACCGTGAGACAACAAGCAGCCCAAAGAACAAATATTCATTTTGTTTTGACCCCCCTTGCCTACATCATAATCAAAAGTAAAACGGTGCAATCGTGGCCGTAAGTCGATGACCACACCTCTGGTAGACTCTCCAAGGTTGGATGTCCTCATCATTGATTCTTTCATACAATACTGATTTGATTTCATTATTTTGTGAGGACTTCTTATGCTAGCATTTAAGCTGATTTTCGTGGAGTGAAATGAAATGAAACATATGGTCGTCTTGTTATTGAGTGTGATTCTGTGAATTACCATGCTTATTTGCTGATAAGTCTTTTTGTCAATGAGGTGGTTTCAGTTGTTTTATGGGCTCCTTCTTCATCTCCCTTACTATACCCAATGCCTGTATATGGAGAAGCATCAAACCATAGGTACGTTACATCTCAGTTTGATTTTTTAATAGCGAACTCTGTTCTTGCCTTTGTATCTGTAATGCAAATTGTTTAATCGTTTTGTCTTTTTCTGTTACTAGAAATAACTGTCCAGATTTTTCAGCTTTAAAGTTCTAATATGTTTTGATTGTTGTTCACCTGCAGTGCCGTTGATCTAGTAAATCCTGACTTTTCAGTGCATGGTAGAGCCCTGACTTCAAAGGAATATTCACAAGAGATTGTTCTTCATTACGGTGATGCTCTCTTTATACCTGAGGGTTGGTAAGATTTATTTTTGCCACCTGTCTTTTTTTTCTTGATGTCTTAAAATTAGAGAAAATGATGGCTAGCTGCTCTACTAAATCTCCTTTATTACATTCTGATTACTGTTAAACCTCTGCACAGATTATAAAATTTGAATCGATAATACTTTTTTGCTCACCACTAGTAGTTCTTCCTAAAACACAATTGGGATTTTGCTTCTTCTGTTTTCCGCCTTTTTTGACAACTTGAAGTTTTTGGAGTTGGCTCAGAATATCATTAGGAGCCAGTTTAATGACCAGTCCCAAATAAATTCTTATGTTCTCTATGTATGCCTTACTTGATTAGGATAGAGAAAACGATTAAAATGATCTCTTGACTTTTTATGAAAGACCAATATGGTCTCAACTATATTAAATGATCATTTTGGTCATTCAACTCTTTAAAGAATAACTATGGGACTATTTTGATTCATTTTTAAAGACTTGAGGGACCAAAATGATCATTATATAGTTGAAGATTATTCTGGTCCTTCATAAAGAGTTAAGGGACCATTTTGCATTTTGACCTCTTTAAAATATATTTATATTTAATGTGCCCGCTGAACCTAAAAAAAAAAGGGACCATTTTAATCTTTTTCCTCGGATATATTCTTAAGTTTATTAGGTTGATATTTGACTGGGTAGAGGCAGCCCGCAGGTTTAGGTTGTTTCACGCTTGTGGGAATATAACTTCTAGTCAAACCTCGTATTATCACTGTAGCATTAGATTAGGGAGCCTTATTGATAATCAACAACAAATAAGTCAATAGCTTGTTGTGAAATTAGGCTTTGAGTCAATGAGCCTTAGTTATGATCCCTATATGGTTCATTTAGAATCATGGATACCCTCACCCTAGGTAATGCCATATGGATCGATGGTGATATTAAGCCAAGGGTATGATTTTATTATAAACATTGGCATGCTTTACTGCAAGAAGGATCTCATAACCAGTAAACAAAATGGCTTTGATGCTTGAAACATGTCTAGCTGTGATTCAGAGCTCATGGGCATGACCTAAAAGGCGTTGGAGGCATATCATGGTCAAACTAGTTGGTAAAGATAAACTTTTGTTAACCCTTAAAAAGGATGTGCTAAGCTTTGGTTTGTTTTCTTGGTTTTATATGGAGTGGAATGAAGCCCGCATGGTATATGAGCTTCTTGATTTTTACATTACCCTTACAATGTAGGTTTATATTCCTTAGGATGTGTTAGACCTATCCACTGGACTGGTCTAGCCGGTCCATATCAGACCGGCTTACGAAAAACAGAGGCGGAAGAGTCTGCCTCCTGCATGCCGATCAAACCGAACGGAACAAAAAGAGCATATTAGGAAGGTTTTGGGAGAAGTTTAGGAGGGAAATTTGAATGTAGAGACTATTTAGAGATTTCCTTTTGAATTGTATGCATTAAATAGTTTGTTTTCCTAGGGTTAGTGATGTGAAACAACATTTGCATGGAGTTACTTTAAGGAAATTAAAGAGAGTAGATTTAACAAAATAATCCCAAAATAAATTTTTTGCTTATAACAATGGTTGATCATTAAAATTCTTGGTTTTTAACTCGCTTAGGCAAAGAAGAGCAAGGTCGGTTAACCAAACAATTTAAGAAAATGCCAAGATCAATTGTAAAACTATGACGATAAACAAGAATCCGCGATTTAATAATGAGAACTTTCATCTTTGGAGCCCATACGCTCAACTAGTCTAGGTTTTAGCGGAAGAAGAGTCTCCACATTAGAATCGAGGTCACTCCGAGGAAGAAAGAGCCTAAGATCGTCGTTCTTGGATAGGTGGCCGGAGTGGTGGAGGATGGCGGTTGTCCAAGGATGATCCAACGTCCCTTTGATCTTTGCTCGTCGATCACATCCACTAAGGTGTAATGGATACGGTCGATGTAATCTTCAATAGTGTCATCAAAATCGAAGCCCACGTCAAAGAACGGTGATTGGAGGATGTCAACTTGATCTTGGTCGCACAAACCCAAAGTTCTATTTGGGTTCCGCCATGCATTCTTGCCGGGAGTTGATGGAGCATTCGAGAGAAGAGGGGAGGTGGTCGGCTAGGGTGGAGAGGCCAAGAGAGGAAGTAAGGATTATCAAATCTGAAATAATGTCAGATTCCTGAATTGGGAGGAAGGACTTGGGTGGAGAAAGCAAGCCAATTCCCAAAGAGGTGCTCGGGTGGGAGAGTAAAAAAAAACTTCAGAAAATATTTCAGATTTTCTGAAACTGAATTCTAGTGGAGAGAAGTGGGGGATGGGAAAATTAATTTGAAAATTCAAATTAATTTCCAATGGAGGGGCCGGCAGTTAATGAGGGCTTAGGGGAGTTAATGGGAGGCAATTGATATAATTGGAGAGAGAAGAAAAGCCAAAGAGAGGGGCCGGCCAAGCATAGAGGGAGAAGAGAAATAACATTAAACAGGTGGGGCCCACATGGCTAAACAAGAAATTGAAGAAAATCTGAATTATATTTCAGATTTTGATAAAAGGGGAGTTTCCTAATAAGAGGACTATTAATTAGGATTAATTTGAATTTCAAATTCAAATTGAAATCTAATTAATATGAGGGCCTCAAATTAAGGAATTAATTTAGGAAAGTAGTAAAGGATTCAAGGAGAATTTGAAATTTGAATCCTGGAACCATGGGAGGGGGCCGGCGGCAAGCCTGGATGGATGCTAAGGAAGGGCGGCCGGGCCTCTTGGCCGGAGGTGGGATGCAGCCGGCGGGCAGTTGGCGGCCAGATGGGGGGCGGCGGCAATGAGCGAGGGAGGGGAAGAGGTAGGGAAAATTTACAGATTCAAAGAGGGAATTCCAATTTTCCACAAATGCTTCAACCCGAATCTCCACGACGACGAAGTGATCAAGAGAAATAAAGGAAAATAGTAGAGCAAGAAAGAACCTAGAACTCACAAAGAGATCTAGCTTCTCCTACGAACTCACTAAGAGATCGTGGAGGTTTACACTCACAAAGAGAACAAGAAATGTCAAATTTTTCATTCATCCAAAACTGAAATTACAATGCATGAGGCCTCATATAAATAGACCAAAATGAAATAACAAGAAATGACACAAATGCCCTTTTGGGCTACATAAGCGACTCAATGTCCATAAGGGCAAAAACGGAAAAACATAAAATAACCACGAAACCTAGGACGCTTGCTCGATTTGCGTGGTCTACGCTCACTCACTTAGGACTTTCAATCCTCTCAAAGACCCTCAACTCTTAAATACAAATTGCAGAAAAAAATTTTATATATCATCATCTCTTCAAAGAAGGAAAGGAGCTTTAAATAGCCATACAATGAAGAAAATATAAAAGACCAACTTCCCCTGCGCATACATGTGACTAGCGCTCAAGTGAGGCATTTAAAAGGAAAAATGTATTAATAAAACTCATAAATATAATAAACTATACTCAATAATAAATCTAAATACAATGATAATCTGAATTGCAAGAAAAAACATTGAGAAAAAGCCCTAAATTTTGCAAGTAAGAACTAAACCTTCATAAGAAAGAGAAGAACACAAAACATTCAAACTGACAACAATACAACAACTACCAAAAACTCACTTTATAACAAGAGAATGACTTACAAACTTCACTTACAAAACGACTACAACCAAATTATATAATAAAAAACCTAAATTTGCATTTCAAGTTCTTTGGAAAAGGATAACAAGGGCGCGGGACTTGTAGATAGAAGAAGTAGATTAGAGCTGAGACGAAGAAGAGAGGACAAGCTCGACAAGTTTCTGTAGCGCAAAGAGAGGAAGAAAAAGGCATAGCTCGCAAGATATACTAGAAACCGCAGTTTAGATCCAAAAATCACTACATAACATCCTTTTTATTCTTCAAAAATCTCTAATTTATAGAGAAAGAGGGCACCAGACAGCCAACAACTCCTCCAACCAATTCAAGAAAAGAAATAGAAACAAAAGGCATACCAGGCACAGCAGCTGAAAAGCCACCCAAATCAGCCAATACATCCAATGTACAGGCTACCAGGGAAGGAACCAAGATGCAAGACATGGGCGGAAACCAGCAGAAAAACCCAACAGCCACCACGGGGAAACGAGAAAGCAGCATAGGAACTGGTAGAGCGCAGCCGGGAAAACAACCAGGGATAAACGAAGGGCCACCAAGAGAAACCACGAGGAGGCACAAAATGAGGAATAATCGCCAAATCCATTCACATTTGAGCTGGAAATTAGAATAGAAACCTTTTATATTAAATGGAGCATGTCACATTCAACATTTCTGAGCTAAACCAACTTATCCAAAATTTTCAGCACAAAACCAAAAAACAGCCAAGACCAAAGATCGAGAGCAGCCCAAGACCAAAACCGCTGAGACAAACAAAGCAGCCCCAAAGAACAAATATTCATCTTTTGACCCCCCTGCCTACATCATATCTAAAATAAAACGGTGCAATACGTGGCGTTTGTAGGTCGATGACCACACCTCTGCTAGACTCTACAAGGTGATGTCCTCATCAATTGTCTATTTACATAACAATACTGATTTGATTTCATATATTATTGTGAGGACTTCTTATCTGCATTTAAAGCTGACTTTCGTGGAGTGAAATGAAATGAAAATATGGTCTCTTTGTTATTGAGTTTGATTCTGTGAATACCATGTTATTGCTGAATAAGTCTTTTTGTCAATGAGGTGTAATTCAAGTTGTTTTATGGGCGCCTTCTTCATCTCCCTTACTATACACCAATGGCCTATATGGAGAAGCATCAAAACCATAGTACGATTACATCTCAGTTTTGATTTTTTAATAGCGAACTCATGTTTGCCATGTATCTGCTATGCAAAAATATGTTAATCGTTTGTCTTTCTGTTACTAAAATAACTGTTCCAGATTTTCAGCTTAAAGTCTAATATTGTTTGAATTGTTTGTCACCTGCAGTGCGTTTGATCTAGTAAATCCTGACTTTTCAGTGCATGGTAGAGCCGCTGACTCAGGAT